TCATGTGCATCAAAAGCAATTTGTGTTGGAACTTTTTTCTTCCCGACTTTTCATTAAACACACACGATACTGAGCTATTGATACTTTAATAGCTACAGCAAAAGATTCTTCTGCTCTGCACACCCGAGAACGCACAATAACGTAACTGTTTGGCAGGGGGAAAATGCCCTGTTGTCCTGCAGTACCAGTTGGTATTATGGAGGTTTGTTCAGTGTCTTATTTATAGTAGATTGCAATGGGAAATGTGATACAAAACAAACACCGATGTTCTAGTAGCTTAACCACGCATCAGATTTTTACTTTGATAGTTATTTTTATTTTAAGCATCTTTTATCATGACTTGAAAAATTACAGCAGTGAAGGAACAGTCAATCTGCTGAGGTCTCAGCATCCATGTTCTTGAAAGAAAGATAACGTCCCATGTCCCACCGTGCGGGAATGCTCCCAGGCAGACTTGGATTTATGCTGATGCCCCTTTACACCGCCCGTAGAGACAGTTTATTCCAGTCATGAGACCTTGCTGCTAGGGAGGATCCTGTGTATGGAGAGTTTATAAACTTTGGTTCTCTGTTGATTTTTTTTTTTTTTTTTTTTGGGTATTGCATATGAAAGGCGCTTTTTCCAGTACTTAAAAATGTGGTTTCCTTTAAAGAAAGTGGGGCCTAGGTTTTGAAAAACCTGCAGACTGCTTGCAGAGATTTTTCTCATCGTTTTGGCTCTTGCTGACCTTTGGCTGGGCTTATGTTTGTGCGTGCGTATCTCTGGTGCGTGCAGGTATGTGTGCGTGCTCGGGTTGTATACGGAGGGTTTATGCTTTAATACTGTCAAAATCTTCCTCTCCAGCAGTGAGGAATTCAGTGGAATTTTTTTTGCAGGGATACAAATATGCACAGAAAGCACATTTTTTTAAAAGTCTAGCTCAGTGGTAATCCTACCAAGGCAAGTATTTTGTAGAGAAATGGTATCCAAGTGTCTCTAGTCAGATTTCAAATAAAATCCCAACTGGTTTTCTCTCTTTCTGTCTAGTGTGGCTTCAGCTCCTACCTTCATGCACTGCTCAGCAATAAACATTTCCTGGCTTGCCTACTGGCTCTTCGTTGTGTGCGTTTACAACATGCGTGAGGGAAGCCTTCTTTCAGGAGAAGGACTCAGTAAAAAACTTGTTAAGGCAGTGGAGAACAAAAAGGAATCATTTCATTACCTTTTTTTTAGCTTGTGGTGGGAGCAAACTGTTGTCTCCTCGGTTTAAAATTGGGTGATTTATACCCAAAAGGTGCATGTGAGCCTTGCCAGTAATTCTGATTGTTTCCAGAACTGCCTTTGGATAAAATTAAGAAAGTAACTCTTTCCAGTGCTGTTTGTTTTTGAGGATTTGTTGTTTTTTGCTTGAGTGTGTTTAAGAAGAAGCCACAGCCAAAGTCTGGCCTCAGGGTCCGCACAGAACCCCTGGGGTGGGATGTGCTTCATCCTCTGGGCTGTTCACTGCAGCTGAACACCATCACCCCCATCGTCCCGTCTGCAGTTGGGTGGATACACGTGGATACTGAAGTGCCCTCCCAGGATCTCCCTGGAAGGTGATGGGCTAAGGCAGGAGATTTTGATCACATTATTTTTTGAACTTGTTAAGTGTTTTTCTGAGGCTAGATAGTATTATCAGCTTTGTTTTCCAGGTTCAGATTTACACACACACAGAGCCTGCACCCTTTCAAAGAGGTGGAGAGTACCGTATTCCCTGCCAAAGCCAAGTACTGCCTAGGTGGTAAATGAGGGACTTTTTCAGAATGGGGAGGGAGCTGCCTTTCTGGAGACACCTTTCAGCAACAGATGCCATAGGCCTGTCGCAAACCCTGTAAAGCTTTCACAGTGCAGGTGAGAACAAGTCACTGTAGCTGGAATACAATCAGTATTGCAATTAGAGCTTTCTTTACTAACCAGTGGCCCATTTTGAGTTTTATTTTTATTTTTCCTCCCTAGAAAGAGTGCAGCTAAGCCGTGAGGAGGAGTGGCTGAGGGGCTGGGCTGTGCACAGTGCTGTCAGTGGAGCAGGATGGGTTATGGTTCTGCACAGCCTCCTCGTGTTCCCCCACCCCTGCACAGCCTGAGCCTTCTCCGAGCACGCCTTTGCATCCCCGGTTGGCTTGGATTTGAGTGCAGGCTTGGACCCAGGTTTAAAATACCATAGGTGGTACATACTGGGGTGACCAGAAAATCTCACTGTCCTCAGAAATGCAGCGTCAGCTGTTGTTTTTGAAAACTTATCTCCTCTGTCCCAGATCAGTAAATAGGATATTCGCTGTGCCTGGGCTGGATATACACCTAGAGAAGATGATGGTGCATGTTTAATCGTAGAGGCTCAAGTGTTTTCTTGGGTATGGGAATGGTGACAGTGTGCTTGAACCAACACTGAGTATCTGAAGTCCTTCCGCAAGCAGTACATACTCACTGATGTAGCTGAAGCACTGTTTACTCTGGGTACACTTTGAGTCCATCTGTATTTGAAGAGAAATTCCTTCCAATATTTTTCCTGGTCAGTTGTTGGATGGAGGCTGGGTCTGCTTTCAAAGCACTTGTCTTGAATACGCATCAGGTTACCCTGAGGTAAAATGGAAACCTTAGCTGTTACTCCTGTAAATAAATGTTTACATAATACATTGCACTGAACTTCTCAGCATTGCACGTCTGAGAAAAAAAGGTCACTTTTGACATCAGTAACCTTTAGAGAGCCATGCCTTTGCCACACAGGTAAAGAAGGTTACTGTGACCAGCACATTCCTTTTGCTGGCTCAAGAAGGTAGCAGAGGTCAAATGTTATTGCTTACAACTCCCAAGGCTTGGCATTTTAACCTTTAAAGGCAAGGTTTGGTTTTAAGGCAAGGTTTGGTTCTAAGGCATGGGTCCTGTAAACAGCACATGCCCAATCTGACTCATGTGAGTAATTCCATTGAATTCCCTGGGGCTAGTCACATCTGAAAAGCCAAGGCTGTCATGTACGTTTGTGTGGGATCAGGACCTCAACTCGTCATTTCTAAATGAGAAATTTCCTATAAAACGTTCATGGTAGCAAAAGGGAATGGGTTGGGATTTGGAACCAAGTATCTATCTCTCAGTTTTACTGTCTTTGTGTCAAAATACTTTGCCCAGCACCAAACATAAAAATATTACCTTCCTATAAGTCAGCAGCAGAATTGCTGTTGTGTCAGTCCGTTAAGGATTTCTCCCTGAACTTAATCCAGGAGATGTGTAGCAGGAGAGGGGGCTTGGTGTTCTCCGGTGGAATCCATCCTGGAGGGCAAAATATCATCCAGGCTGTTGGGTCTTGGGGCCCAGAGCCCAGGAAGAAGGGCGGCAGCTCACCCACTCTGTGATACAGGGGAATTGTCGATACCCCTAAACTTTGTGTTGTGGGATACAGCGGAACTGGAAATCCTCATGATAAATAGATTTTTTTGCTGCCTTTGTATTTGAAATATTGGCAGAACCTGTAGGTTTTCACACACTGAAAAAACCTGAAGTAGGAGCTATGATGCTACAGCTCCTGCCTTTATATATTTCTTGATCTTTGTCCAAAGGCAATACAGAATTAATAGTGTGAATGATTAGCCCCACGTATGCCTGTGACAGTACTTGATGGCTTTTAATGTACGTTGCTTTTTTTGGATGCCCGGTTCCTTCTTCACTTCCCTGTCCGTCTCTCTCACTCCTCCCCCACAATTTAGAGAAAAAAAAGTTCTTTAAATAGCAAGCTCTTTGCTTTTGTGATGTACCCGCTGCCTTCTTAGCATGGGCCAGGTTATGCCAGGAACAATCATAAAACCTTGTTCACAGCTATCAGGCATTATTTCACTTTTTTTTCCCCCCCCCCCCCCCACCCCTATATATTGCCATCCAGTTGTCCTGCATATTCCTGATGCTTCACTGGTGATATTAACGAGCCCTGCCAGGGCATACAGTGCTTCCTTTGTTCTGTAGGAGCCGCTGGGGAGGGGGAGCACGGAGCAGAGCTGGCTTTCCTTCAGCCCGCAAACACGCTGGGTAACGGAGAACCCGCGACGCCAGCGCAGCGGAGACCCCGCGCCCCCAGCGCAGCCGGCAGCCATCGGTAGCTGTAGGCACCTCTTCCCCCTTCCAGCACGCATCCCAACGAGGCCCCGCACGGTTAGGTGCGGGAAGGCCTTTATTCTCCCGGGGAAGCGGCGCTGGGGTGGGTGGCGGATGGCGGCTGCGGGTGGCACGCGCTGACAGCTGGGTCACATGATGGTTGTCAGCGCTGGCTTGGCCACCCCTCTGCCTCCGCGATCCCGGGCTCCGGCACAAGCATCCCGTCTCTTCCAGGAATGTAAAGGCTGGGGGTGCAGTCTGGAAGGAGGCTGCCTTGCTTTGCTTCCCCCCACCCCCCCCACAGCTCCTCTCTTCTTGTCCGAGCAGGCTGAATTCCCGACGGCGGCGGGATGGCAGCAGCCACAGTTGCCAGGGGACTTGGGTCATGAGACTCAACTCCCATCGCCTTCGCTAGAGGAGGAGGAGGATAGATGGGACTGACATGTACGCTCCGGCGGCTGCCAAAGCAGCGCCTAGCTTCCCGATGAATTAGATCGATCTCCTCTGCAGCAATACGCTGGAAGAGCCGCGGGAGCGGGGAAGACGGGCGATATTTCCTTGAGCAGAAATCCCCGGGCTGTGCAACAGAATGGAGGGGCAGGATTTGGGTTATGAAACTCCAGGGCAGCGCAAACGCAGCCCGGTGCAAACGCCTGTATTGCGCTTCAGCGAACTGCTTTCCTTAAGGTGGTTTTTGTGATCCTGTTGCTAGGATTAAGCCTTTTGCATTGCAGCATGGAGAGTCTTTTGTTTGAGTTAAATTCAGACCTCTTGATATGTCACCTGACAGTCTTGTGGTTTTGGATGAATATGGCTCATTGCTATTATTAACCTGAGTTGGCAGCCGGGCACAACAGGAGTTTAGAGGGATTTTGAAAAGTGGAACTGCTCGGGGGACAAAGATGCTTCCCAGGTACGGTCGCTGCACAGTTCTTGAGATTATTTTAATTATCTGAAAGCTTAATATTTTCACTGTGATCAAAGTATCTCTCTTCCAGAAATGTGACACTTTTAGAGATTTTTTTTTTTTTTTTTTTACGATTCTTACAATTGTATGTTAAGTGGCACTAATGTATTTTTACGCCTGAATTGGTTCTATCTGTTAAAATTTTGGAAAGGGAAGTGGAGTCTACTTGAACAGTGTAAAACGTTGTGTTCAATGCTAGTGAATTTAACTGGGAGGAACGGTGTCTTGTTTGTGTGTGTTTTTTATTAAAAGAGGTATTTCAGAAGGGCACCACAGAGCCTGTGTGTGTGTATGTTTGCATGCATCTATGTGCTTAAATCGGCTAAAAGCTGAACAGGTACTTTTTGAAAGGATATACATGAAGTAGTCCCAAAAATAGTCTATGAAATTACTAATTGTAAATTCTGAAGCTGTGTAAATGGTAAAGTTACTCACCATGCTAGACGTCTTTAACAAAACCTTCCAGCCTACTGATTTTCAGTATCGCACTCCAGATTATGATGAATGTGTTGACTAGACTGCACCTAACCTGTACATATTACGTGTTTTTCTTGTGGAAAGGCATCTGGCTCGTGTGTTGGACTTTACAGTATAAATTAGGTACCTTAATGAGAGCCAAGTGACTTGGTAGAAGGGAGAAAAAAAATGAAAACAAACTAAAGTCAGCTTCATCTACAGTTAAAGAATCGGACAGAGCCAAGGACCTTGGAAGCCAAGTGAAGTTTAGGTCCAAGTTTATGATACTGAGTATGAAATGTCTGGCTGGGTGAATATGTACCTCCTGTACAAAATGTGCTTAGTGTAAGCAGCAGAAGTTTCCTGGAGCTCAAGCAGTGCTGCTATTCAAGGTGAGGATTGCTAAGCTGGTAAATGAATGAGGCGGATTTATCGATGTAGCGTGGAGCTGACCTCTACGGCGCTGCAGTGCCCGTGGATGTGCCACCCTCCTTCTAGACATGAAAAGGGGGTGGCTTGGGTTTTTGTTTATTTAAAGAAACATTATTTCCTTGTGATAAACCTTAAAAACGTAACTGCTACAAGCAGTCACCCATCGTGAGTGGTTGTCCCTGAGATGATCCCCCATCTATCAGTTCTTCCAAGCTTCCCAGAATACAAGTCCTTTGGCTTTTGTGAAAACCCAGCTGAGGTCGGTGGTAGATGGCAGCGTCACCAGGGTGCTGGGCAAACTCCTTTGCAGTCGATTGTCACGGGCTCCCTCCGTGGCTTTGGTCAAGTCACCAGCACTGATTTTCTCTGCAGAATCAGCAGGCATTGACCACAACAGTCGCACAACCCTGAAGTGACCTCAACTCTTGTAAAGACAATTATGTTGCAAAATTTTCTCTAAGTGTAGGCCCTGTGGTTTTTCTGCTTCAGGGACCTTCTTCCTCCTCACAGCCTCGTGATCGTATTGTGTCACCAGCATTGACATGGAATCTCTCACTGAAAACGCCAACTTTGCGAATCAGCGATGCAGCCTGGAGCATCCTCATCACGGGAATGCTCATAAAGTTCTGTTGTATCTTCTCAAAGCCAAAAGAAAAAAATCCATTAATCGATAATAATAACGTGCAGAGGAGTTTGGGCAGGAGAAGGGAATCCCTTGTTGGAAAAAGCATCTCAGTCAGGGGTGAGAGGTGTGTGGTACGATGGTTGGGCTAGGCAAGGACCATTTGCCTTCTGCTTCCGTTCACCTTCCCTGTCACAAAGCAGGATCCTCCATGCCGCTAGGTTTATGTGGACAGGTGAGTGTACTTTGATGTGATGTACATCTTTGTGGAAAGCAGAGATAATCTGCATCTGAAATATCCCAGTGCACCCAGTGGGATAGTCTCATATTTACAACATCAGCTCTTCAGGAGAGGGACAGGCTCTCTGTCCAGCGCTGGTGTAGGAGTTGGCTGGGTCTAAGCGCCACCGTTACAACAATAAGACATGAAGAGGATCATCTGCAGGAGTTGGAGATAAGCCCTGGGGATCCCTGTGCCTCTGTTCTGATGCTCATCTAACAGGGGCGAAGGAAGACGTTTCCTTCCGTGCGGAGCCCACGGGGCAAGGTGGAGCTGCCGTCTGCTCAGCCCGGGCTGTGCCTGGCAGCCTTTTAAAAAGGTGCTAGCATGGAAAACACGCAGAACAGATAAGCTAGCATCAACTATAAATACCATTTGCGTAGATGCATTTAAAAATAGTTGGAAGTGATTCATCACCAGGCAGTTTTTATAACTATGGGTAACATGATGTAGGAAAACAATAGTTTGACTGATAGTTTCAACTTACTTTTTCAATGATTAATCATATTCTGGTTTTGAGCAACTGTACTTTTTTAGCAAGCTGTTTTGCAGTTCCCTACCTGCTTCATATCTTGATCAGTTTGCTTCAGTTGCTTTTCTTTAAGACTTCTGAAATATCTGTGTTAATTATTGGAAAGTAATTGGATGCTACCTAAGCCATGTTAGTATGAAATTGTTTTAAAAGTAAAGTCTTACACAGGAGGAAAAATAGTATTCAACGAGACACTTAATGTGATGAAGAAGTGCTGTTCGTGTTGTAGTGGAAACAAGGAAGGAATGTACTTGCTTTCAATTGCAGGGAAAAATCTTGTATTTTAATTGGTGGAGTGATAACGAAGGATTTCTGCATCTGTTGTTCAAGCTATTAAAACGTGCACAGGGTGTAGTCATACCAGTTTAGAGCCATTCACTTGCCTCTTGCTGAGAAATGTCTATGGCAGTAATAAGCTCCAGGAGTTAGATGAGAAAATCTCTCCTTGGAGAGAATTTGGAGTTCTTGATTGCCATGCAACTGGCAGTAGAGATGTCGGGACGCGTGGAATGGATCTGTAAATGTAAAGTATAAATAATACTCCTGGTGCTTGAATGTAAAAAAGGCAGGAAAGCAAGTGGGGTGAAAAAGCAGGAAGAGCTGAACACTACTAGGGCTTCAGTGTGAACGTCCATGGAAATACCATTTTTCAGGCCCTGATTTAATTATTTTTACTTCCTAATAATTTCATCATTATTCTTGTGGAAGTTTGCCTTTCTGTCCCAGACAATTCCTTTCCTTTGTGTTTTTTGCTTCCATTAGCAGCCAAGCAGGGCGTTGGACCAGGTGCCCTCCCGAGGTCCCTTCCAATCCCACCCAGTCTGTGGTTGTGGGAGATCTGCTGTTACGTGATTTGTTTCTCGAGTATCCCACACAGCATTTATCCATCCATGATTTCTACCTCATCGTGTAGGTAGAAACCTATCTATTCATGTAGGTATTTCTGAGCATCTCATTCTAGAGGAATTACTAGTGGACATTTCCAGAGGACTGGTGTCCTGCTCAGAAATAGTTGTTTGATGTTCCTCTTGGTTGATGCGTGAACACAGCACCTGTCAAAGTCACAGAGGCTTCCACTGGTGAAAAGATTGTTGGGGTTTTCTTGGTGTTTCTGCTTATGTTTGTTTCTTCTGGGTTTGGTTTTATTTTTTTCTCTTTAAATATAGTCAATTTCAAGGAAAGATCTAAGCGTGGTAGATAGGTCACCCAGGAAAACGTCCTCATTAGGAGAACCCTCATTTCCCGAGAAGGTGGGAGATGGAGACTCACCTTTCGTTAACGTTACTAGAACTTCTCATTCAACGTCTCCTGGTTTTCCTGTAAGAATCTCAAGAAAACGTCATTTAAATGTCAAAGTTCGTTTCCATTTATAAACAGAACTAATTATATTCTGAAGATGTAGGTCAGTTTTCATCTGCCTGGAGAGCAGCACTGGAGTATTGCCCTGGTATATTTGTTCTGAGCAGGTGCCCTGCACACAGGAATTTGTGTGTTTCTGGGGATAATCTATCCAGATATCAAGCTTAACAGTACTTTAAAGCTGCTAACGCCAACAGCGAAGCTATTTGGTGTCCCGCTTCCTCCAGAAAAATGTGCCTGGCTGGGAGTTTGGGGGGTGAGGCGGAGGTGCCAGCCTGCCTCTGTTTACTGTCTGTCTACGGGAACTTTCCCCCAGCTCTTCTAAAAGTTTCTTCTGGTTTGGGAAGTGGCCCGCTATTGCCAGGGAATGTTTTTGCAAGGCTGAAATGTGCTTAAGGACTCTGTTATGTAACAGAGATAACGCTTCTTTGGAATTACCACAAATTATGGTGGATAATATCTACTAACTGCTTGTCTAGAGAAAGTTAAAATGTCATGTGAAGAAGCTGAGAAGTAAACAAGCTCTTGTTACCTTGATCAAATGTGTTTCCGAATACAGCAAGAGTTTTATATTTAGCTTTCTCTCCTCTTAGTGTGTAATCTGCTCTTGGAGCTTTTTATAAGTAGACTTTCCTAAGATCTGGAACAGCTCCTGCCCTTCTTTGCCAGTAATTTCAAAGTCAAATATCAAACGTACTAGGTAATGGAAGAGACGCTTTTGTCAGAGTGTGAAGGAAATTCGGCTGCGTTGCGAGGGTGGAGCAAGCGATAGTACCTTTTTGGCAAGCAGCTAGTGGTTATTGTCACACACTGTGGCCTGTCTGGAAACAAAATGAGTTTCCAGACTTCTGCTGATTTCACTTAAATCAAAGGAGCTGGTTCCTCCAGGAGGGCAGGTGACCCGGTGGTCTCCCTTCCCTCCCCACCTCTGGCTGAAGTCAGGCTCTTCCATGAAACAGCTCCAGTGCCTTGGAGCCTCTCAGTTGATAACACTCTCTGAATATGCATCAAACAATATGGATTTTGTTTTCTTACATTTTCTGAGATGCAAGATGGGGCTCGCTAGCAGAGACCCCGATAAGTGCAAGCCCTGCTCTGAGTTTGTCCCTGTGCTTGGGTGTTGCTCAGTGTGCTCTTCGTGCGGGCACGTCCCTCTGTGGCCAAAGCTTGGCTTTGGGTGAGCTAACAGAGAGGGTGTGAGGATCTTTGTCCCCAAACCTAGACATCAGGTTATTTCAGTTTCAAATTGCTCAAGCTTTTTTCTTGTAATAAGTTGCTTTTGACATTTGTTGCACACTACCTTCTCTGCAGCTTCTGTTTTTCTCTCCTCTTGCTAAATGGTGAGGCTGAGCGGATTAGGAAATTGATTTCCTCTCTCCAGAGACCTTGTAACTGTGTGTCTTGGTGCTTAGTTTCACCTCGTTGGGACTACACGAGTTGTAAAGACTGTGAATTGTATCGGACAGTCTTAAAAACTTCTGATCGGCAACCATGGCTTTGGTGATCAAAGAGTTTCTCTGCTGGGACCTATCATAGACGTTGCGGGGTCAGAAATTGTCATGAGCCTACTGATGCCATTGAAAGCATGGGCACAGAGAAGGAAACCTTGTGGTTGGTGAATTAGAGGAGAGTAAAACTTACCATAGTCTTGGAGTCTAGCGTGCCAGGTTTGTTTTAATCCATATTGTCATTTATGGGTGTCTTTTTGCTGAAATAAATGTACAGCTGCTTCTTGTGAACTGGGAGCCTGCATCCTTCCTTAATGGCTGGAAAGTTCCAGGGCCTCGTGTCTCACTTCTCGGCGTGTCATGCTAACGCTGCTTGCCTAAAAGCCAAGGATAAGGAGGATAGAATTTCACTTGATCTAGGAAATGGCTCGTAACTGGCTGAAAGGTGAATCCTGTTGGCTTTGTGGATAGAGCAGGTGTCTTGTTTCCTATCTTCCAAGAACTGAGAGGGCATCGGTGAAAATGGATTCCAAAGACCATGGGCAACAATGCTTGCTGGGCTTTGAAGCCATGGCTAGATTTTTAAAATGGAAATTCAAGTTGATGGCTACAGAGCAACCATGAAGTCAAGGTTATGCACTGGGAGTCAAGCCCAGGCCCTGCAAGTTCTCCCTTTGCAGACCTCCTCTGAAGTCGGTGGCACCAGGTAAGGCAGAGGCTCAGGAAAGCTCCTTCCCTTGTTCCTGGCTGCAAACACGGTTTGGGAATCGCTGTTAGAGGAGGACTGCTGGGGGTGGTTTGCTGACCCACGCAGCAGCCTGGCCTTCAATCAGCGTGGCTTAAGTGGAGATTATTTCTAAGACTGATGTCGGGAGGACTTGAGTATATAGTCAGGACCAGGCTACACGTGTCTCTGTTCCCCAGCATCACAGCATAGGTATTAGTGTGAATGTTGTAGTTTGTAATACTGCAGTTGGTTCTGTACACCTATGTTACTGCAGTGTTTGTGAAACCCAATGAGAGGTAGGAAAGGTACTTTGTGTTTTTTCAGCCATGGAGTTCAGTGCTTTGCCACCCCATGGGGCTGAAAACCCATGAGTGCAAATGCAGAAAATCATTACTTAAGAGAGAGGCTAATGTGACTATACCTGCTTTTGAATTGTGAATGCTTCCAAGCTACTGCTTGCAGTGAGGAGGGACTCGGTTTTTTGTCTTTAAACGCAAGAGCTAAGTTCTTCTGTGACTTAAATTTCAAAAAAGATGGAACTTGAAGAAAGCATTAAATCTCACAAGACAGGACACGAGCTAGGAATGCTGCACACATCATTGTATTATGGTTGTAGAGGATTGATGCCATTTCTGCCAGTGTAATTTGGCTACTTGCAAGTGTAAGGGGAAGAAAAAACCAAAAGGCATAGTTCTGGCTAGAGGATCGAAGGGTTTGATGAAGTCGCATTGCATTTACTGGATTTTATGTTTTAATAAAGTTGGATATACAGATAATGTAGAAAGAACAGTGTAATAAAGAGTTGTGGTAATTGATCTTTCTGCTCTTTTATTTTTTAATTACAGCTGGCCTTTGCCGGAGTTTGACCCAAGTCAGATCCGACTGATTGTGTATCAGGACTGTGAAAGAAGGGGACGGAATGTCTTGTTTGACTCCAGTGCTAAAAGAAAAATAGAGGATGTTTCGGTGTCGGTGAGTATTTTACTAATTTACATACTGATAGTCTATATTTTTTTAAATGGTAAGATTGATAAATCACAAATGTTCTGTTTTATTCACATGAGCATTTAAGCGTTGGTTATATGCAAGGCTATATTTAAATGCCTGTTAAGTTGCAAATTTTTCAGGCTTCAATGATTTCACTCTTAACATCTTTAAATACTGCAGTGATCTCTCTATTCCTGGGCTCGTTTATTTTCTGCTCTTTCAGAGAGAAGGATCCCTTCCTGGGACTGCAGCAGGCAATGCTGGGGGGCTGAGGCAGGGCATAAACTGATACCTATGGATGTGCTTTTATGCCATGGTGGGGTCTGCATTCTTAATCAGAAGGTCCTCCCAGTCTTGCGTCCTCTTGTGTCCTCTTTGGTTAGCTTTTGCCAGTTGTTTCTCTGCTTTGCTGACAGTTTTTTCACACCCAGTTACTTGAAAACTTTTCCTCTGCTTTTCCTTTTGGCATGGTCTGCGTGGTAATCTATTAATTGAAACTGTAATGGATGGAGTCAGATGAGGATGCTTCCTTCTAAGGGCTCTGGCCAGAAGATTAATTTCTAGCCACAGTGCTGTTGTAAGTGGTTGTGTGAGGTTGGACAACTTACTTTGCTGCTTTGAACTTCCTTTTCACCATCTCTAAAACCATTTGCAGACCATTTTAAGCTCTGAAAGCAGAAAGCACTGTGTGAACTGAAATTTATGATCCCAGTTGCTTCTACCCGTAGGACCTGCTAACTTCTGCCAGCAGGAGTACACACAATAACGTGTTTCCCCCAAGCCCTGGTTTTCATCTTGGGTATTGGAGTACAGCCAGAAGATTCTTCATCCAGCTTTTTAAACTCTTCTGGCCTATTGCTGAGTGCTGCCGGCCTGATGCTTCTCATCCTGGTCCCGAGGGCTTCCCGTGTCCACGTCTCCTAACCCCTGGGAGTCAGTTTGTGTCTCGTCAGGCACTTAAGATCCAGGCTTGTCCATCACTTACTCTAGCACTTTCATAGCCATGAATCAAGATCCCAGTTTCGTAATTCTCTTTGAAAATTAGTGAAGTAAAGCAAGTTTCACAAATGTTGAACAAAATGTATTTTTAATTTTAACTTGTTAGAGTGGCTTTACAAGTTCCTGTTCTTCTGGGCGTTCTTGCCAGGAAAACAGGGATTAAAGACGAGATCTTTAGAAGTGGTTTATTGGTACGAATTGCTGGCTATGCGTATTACTATTACTTCATTAATTATAAAGTATTACTTCATTAATAAAATAGATGTACAGTATAAATCCTCTTGCCATATTCCAATTGATTTATTGGAAGCCTAAAACCTCTTTAAGGCAGAAGTGTACTGGCACGGTGAACTTGCAGACTTCACTGTTTTGGTTTCTTTCAGAAAGATCATTGACTCTGGCAGCTCAACAGCAGCAGAATAAACGGCTGATATGAAGCTAGTAGGGTTCCATATCCATCTCTCTTTTATTTTTCTTTGCTAAGGGGGAAGGGGCAGGGTAATAGCTGTATCCACCATTGCTATGACATGAGTACGTGAGACTGGTGGAGGAAGACTGTTCCCAGGGTGTCTGAAATGCCCAGTACTCATCACTAGTAACTTGATATATTTCTTCTTTTTTGTGGTATTAGGAGGCTTTGAAAGCGAATCTGTTGAAACATTTGCTTGCTATGGTATCTGCCCTCTGCAGCACTCAGATAATGCCATGTCAGGCGAAACTTTCCTCGTAAAACAAAACTTTGCAATAGCAGAAACATGATGCAGGTAAAAACGTGCAGAAGAGTCCCCGGCTTGGCTTGCTGCGAGCGTGGTACAGGCTTGTACAGTTAGCACTGCGTACTGGCCATTTTCAGGGAATTGCATTGTTTATTTTTCTCGCTCTTTATCATGATTTTTCATTAACGAAGACACACCCTGCCTATACAAAGCCAGATCTTGGCTCCAAGCACATTCCAAGGCACTCTTGCCCTTTTGCAGCAAGATGTGTGTGGGCTGGGCACTCTCCCTTCTCAAAGGGTATCTGTTCACCACCCCGCAAAAGAAAACACTTTCTGCATCTCTCTCTCCCACCCCCCCTCCTATTTCCTAACGTGATTTGTACCTCTGGATTTACAAATATAACACTAGTGAGGAGATTTGCAAGAGTGCCTAGCAGCGGCCAGACTTCGGGTTGAAGTCTAATCAGTCTAATGCCGAGAACCAAGAGGGTTTCATTTTGCTTATGTTGCTGTGCTCTTCAGTTCCCATTTTCTGTTGCTTATGAGATGTGAAAGCAATTATAATTTAAGAGTTGTATGCCTGCAGCGAGGCGAGATCTACTTTGCTCTGTTTTATATATCTAATCTCTACATATGTCAGGAGTTGTGTGCGGAGGGCCAAGGTTGAACATGGCTCAGTCATTTGAATTCTATAGGGGAAGGTAGGGTTATAAAATCTAAGGAGTGTCAGAGAAAACTTTTCCAGACACAGATGTTTCAAGAAATAAAAGAGTAGGCTCTGACTTTTTGATGAGTCAAAACTGCAGAGTTTGTGCTCACACCACGCTGGCCTCTAATTATTAAAGCATTACTAGGTTCATATTATCCATGAGGGAAATGTGACTATAACACAAATAAGGATTTTTTGTTTTCATTGGATATTTGATCAGCCTCTTCATGCCTTCAATAAAGCTAAATATCAGGTAAACAAAAAATTTTGGGAGAGTGTTGAACAGAGACCAACAGAAGGCAGCTAAGAGCTTGCAGTACGGCCATTAAAATATTTTAATTGCGCAGGAAAAGTGATGTTTTCCTCGGGTCTTGCTCGAGTTGAACTTGGCGAACAGAGCCGAGCAGCAGTCTGGTGACTTGGAGGGCTGGCGGCTGCTGCACCGGGAATGTTGGCCGCAGGCTGTGCCAGGCGTTCCCAGCGAGGCCAGGCGGAGATCCGCCTCGGGCAGCTGTGGGCGCTGGGCACGGGGGGCAGGCGGAGAGATTCCCCTTTGTGAGTCCTATACCTTTTTTGGTGCTGAGCAGGAGAGGTTCTTCCCTGGCTTTCTGAGGATGGGCTGTTGATCAGCCGGGGTCTGTACGCAGAGCTGAAAGGTCGATGCCTTGCGAGCATCAGAAAACTGGGCAACTCCCCTGCCTGGGTTCTGCCAGGGTATCCCAGGAGAGGGTGGCTGTCCTTTCCAGCCCTGGGACACTAGGTCATGAGCAAATCATGGATCACAGACTGGTTTGGGTTGGAAAGGAC